ATAAATCAGCTAACTCGTTTTTCAGATTCAACGAATAAAATCTCACAAATCACCCCTAGATACGTGTTCTCTAATAAAGTGATGTCTAATTTCAATATGCTTAGTTCTAGAGTGTTGAATAGGATTCTTAGTTAAGTTTATTGCACTAGTATTGTCACAAACCAGAGGTACCTTGTTTAGAGTTACTCCATAATCTGTTAGTTGTTGCTTGAGATAAATGCTTTGAGCACAACAGCTCCTACCTGCAATGTATTCAGCTTCTGCAGTTGACGAGCAACACACGCTTGCTTTTTGTCGTGCCACGATATAAGATCGCTCCCTAGTAGATGACAAGTACCGGAGGTACTTTTTCTGTCCAATCTACATCCCGCAAAGTCGAATCGTAAAATCCAACAAGTTTAAGGGATGCACCCTCAGGATACCATAGTCCAACATTAACTGCTCCCTTAAGGTACTTCGAATCCTTTTGGCAAGCAGTAAGATGTGATTCCTTTGGATTTGCCTCGAAATCTTGCACACAGACATACACTAAACATAATGTCGTGCCTACTAGCAGCTAGATAAAGCAGAGAACCAATCAAACCTCTATATTTAGTTTGATCAACAAATTTCCCTTTTTCATCTAAATCTAAACAAGCAGTTAGTAGACATTGGTGTAGAGGATTCCTTGCAATTGTGCATATCAAATTTCTTTAACAGTTCATTGCAGTATTTAGATTGACTAAGAAAAATGCCATTTGTTAATTGTTTAACCTCGTAGACCAAGGAAGAAATTCAATTCTCCCATCATAGACATTTCAAATTCACTTTGCATTTCTTTTACAAACTTATTACACATGACATTATTAGTGGAACCGAAAATAATATCATCCACATACACCCGCACTAGAATAATGTCGGTCCAGCATTTCTTAATGAACAGAGTTTTATCAACCTCACCTCGCTTGTACCCTTGATCAATTAGGAAGTTACTTAACCTCTCATACCATTGTCTAGGTGCTTGCTTCAAGCCATAAAGAGCCTTTTTCAATTTGTAGACATGGTCGGATGCTTGTGATCTTCAAACCCAGGAGGTTGAGAAACATACACTTCTTCATTGATAAGTCCATTAAGAAAGGCACTCTTTACATCCATCTCGTAGTAATCTGAAACCACTTAAGCAGTGCATAAGCTAATAACAATCTAACAGCTTCAAGCCTAGCTACAGGTGCAAATGTTTCATCAAAATCAATGCCCTCTTGTTGGTTATACCCTTTGGCTACCAACCTAGCTTTATTCCTAGTGATAATGCCATGTTCATCTAGCTTGTTTTTGAATACCCACTTAGTACCAATTATATTGATATCACTGATTTTAGGAACTAATTCCCATACATTATTCCTTTCAAATTGATTGAGTTCATCATGCATGGCACTAACCCAGAGATTCATCATTTAATGCTTCTTTAACTGCCTTAGGCTCTATTTGTGAAATGAATGCCATATGATTATAGAATTGATTAAGAGAATGTCTAGTAGATACTCCCTTATTAATTTGCCCGATGACATTGTCTAGAGAGAGATTTCTTGGGACAATCCACTCTTTAGGAAGCTCTTCCAGAACATCTTCTTCCTCGTTCTTCAAGTAATTGTTGGAGAATTAGCTTTTGCAGTGGTCCACAGATGGATCACCCTCTTCAACAAGATGCTCGATCCGTGCTATCGGGACATTTCAACCGATAAGAATTATCGCTAAATCTTCTTCATCGCCAGCACTGTTGATCTATTCTCGCACAACTCGAGGAGACTCATTAAACACAACATGTACAGATTCTTCAACCGATTTCAATCTCAAATTATAAACTCTATATGCATGGCCGTGAGTCGAGTAACCAAGAAAAATTCCTTTGTCGATTTTTCATCAAACTTGCCAATGTTTTCTTTCCCATTGTTTAAAACAAAACATGTACATCCAAAGACCCCGAAATAGTTTATGTTGGGTTTTCTTCCTTTGTACAGCTTCATATGGGGTTTTCTTAAGCATGGGTCTAATCAAGACTCTATTCAAAACATGACAAGCGATGTTGATCGCATCAGCCCGAAGTATTTTGGTAAAGAATTTTCACTCAACATTGTTCTGGCAAGCTCCACAATTGATCTGTTCTTTCTTTCCACAACACCATTCTCGTTGAGGAGTTCTTGGAGCAGAGAAATTGTGTTTTATACCAAATTTTTCACAAAATGATTCAAACTTCTCATTTACAAATTCTCCACCATTGTCACTTTGAATAGATGTAATGAAATATCCCTTCTCATTATGTAAAACCTTGGCAAGCCTTTTGAAAGATTTGTAGGAATCAGATTTAGCTTTAAGAAAGACAAATCCAGGTAAATCTGGAAAAATCATCAACAATCACCATGATATAAAGATTACCACCTAGGCTTTTATTCCTTGAAGGACCAACCAAATCCATGTGAAGCAGTTCCAAAGGTCTAGAAGTTGAAACAATGTTTTTGTTTGAAAAAGATTTTCTGGTTTGTTTGCCTTTCAAACAAGCTTCACAGATTTTGTCTTTCAAGATTTGAAGCTTAGGCAGCCCAAAAACTAACTCTTTTGAAATCAGCTTGTCAAGATGGTTAAGATGTATATGAGCAAGCCTTCTATGCCACAACCAAGATTCTTCTTTTTTAGTAAGAAGACAACTTTGAGATGATATAGACTGCTTAATATCTAACATGTATATGTTGTTTAACCTCTTACCTACCAACATTACCGTGTCGATTCTCGGCTCACAGATAAGACATTTTTCTGGTTTGAAAACAACTTTGTGACCAAGATCACATAACCGGCTTATACTTATCAGATTGTGTTTGAGACCTTCAACAAAAAGAACATTGTGAATGGTTACAGATTCACCATCTCCAATATCTCCGGAACCAAGAATTCTTCCCTTGTTGTTGTCTCCATAAGTCACATGACCCCCATTCTTCAATTTCAACTTCTGAATTTTGAAATGTCACCTGTCATGTGCCTTGAGCATCCGCTGTCCAGGTACCAAAGAGACTCTTGATGCTGTTCCTGAAAAGTCAAACATAAAGCATTTGGTACCCTTTAAATATTTTGGGTCCTTGGGAGTCAAACTTTCTGCTTAACATGTTTTGGAACCCATCTCTTCCTACCTTGCGGCACAAAATATTTTCTAGCATGACAGAATTTTATAGTATGTCCTTTCTTCATGCAGTAATGACAAGATGAGAAAGGAGATGCTGTTGTTTTTCTATATGAAAAGAAGTTCAAATATTTCTTAGTTTTTACCCCATTCCTAGGTTTGTACCCGATTCCGTAACGTTCAAACACACAGCTTTGAGATCCAAGCAGAGGCATCTAAATTCTCTTTACCTTGAGTAAATTTTGTTAAGGTTTTAGTTAAGTAATCAACCTTATTTTGTAAAACAAGACACTTTTCACAATTCTTATTAACAAGAACATTATCTCGCAGATGAATAGATAATATCTAGATGTTCTAAATCTGTTTTGCTTTCTAGCAGTTCTTTTCCAGTAGTTTTAACTCTATTTTCTAACCAGCTTATTTAGCCCTTTCAACCGATTATTTGTATGAGATAAATTTCTGGCTTCACTATGCATTTCATTGAAAGCATTCAAGAATGTGTTGTAATTCATTTCATTTTCTCGTAGAAGTTGAACTTACATGTGATGAAGAGGATTCACAACTGACCATCAAACACAAGTTCACCTCTTCACCTTCGGATTCAGAACTCGGAAGAAGATTCATTGTCTTGCCAAGCTATGTAGGCCTTTTTTCCTTTGTATCTTGAATCTTTCTTGTTCGATTCTTGGTCTTTTCCTGACAATCACTCTTTATGTGACCCTGTTTACCACAAGAATAACAAGTAATATTATTTTGAACAGATTCAGTCTTTCTATCATTGTACCTTTTTACTTGGCCAGCCTTGTTCTTTCTTCTCGAAATTTCCCGAATTTCTTAACCAATAAAGTCGGTTCTCGGACTCATCTTCTTCAGAATCACTGTTTTCTTCAATCGTCTTGAGAACAATATTTCTACTTTTCTTTTCTGCATTCTCTTGTTCTTTGAACCGATTGATTTCCAACTCGTGTTCCCTTAACTTACCAAAAAGTGAGGCAGTAGTCATTTCAGCTCAAATCTCTTGATTCGGATATTGCTTGTCACCTTTGGTTGCCAAGTTCTGTCCAAACACTTCAGTATTTTGATATTCAACTCCTCCTTGTCAAAGGTCTTCCCTAGCCCGATCAAATGATTAACTATGTGCGTGAATCTTTTCTCGCACATCTGCAATTGTCTCCCCTTGCTGCATTTTAAACAACTCATAGTCCCCGATTAACTCATGCTTTCTTGCCCTTTTCACATCGGATGTTCCTTCATGTGTGACCTCTAGAATTTCCCACATCTCTTTGGCGTAAGCACACTCGAGACACCCCGAAAAACTCATCAAGATTTAAGGCAGAGGTAATAATATTCTTTGCAGTATAATCATATTGCACTCTCCTATTTTCTCGCATCGATCAACTCACTCCAACTTTTCTCAACAGCTTTACCATCTACTATATGAGTTGGTTTAAAAGGACCATTAACAATTGTTTCCCAAATGCCTCTATCAAGGGATTCAATAAAGATTTTCATTCTAACCTTCCAGTAAAGAATAATTCACACCAAGCAAAAAGTGGAGGCCTCGTTTATGGAGGCTCCTTCGAAAAATTCATCTTTCCCTCAGCCATTGGACCGATTACTTGAGTAACTTACAAGAACCAGCTTCGATGCCAATTGAAAGAATTAATGGTTGAGTTCAAGAGGGGGTGAATTGAACTTAAAAACTTTTTCACAAAACTTTACTTTCTTTTGGAAGAATGAGTTATCTTTATTCAATTCTTGAAAAGATGATTTGATTTAAAACACAACAAGATAATATTCAGAATTTAAAAGAGATGATAGAAAGAAATCAACACACAAATTTATACTTGGTTCACTCTAATCCAGTAGCTACGTCCAGTTCTTGACAAAACCTGTCAAGTTTTTCACTAATACCAAGTGACAATTACAACCCGTAGATCCTCACCAATCTACACCAAGAACTATCTCTTCAACCTATAAGATAGAATCTTGAAAAACACCCAAGTAACCAAATCCAGATTCATTGTACCAAGTGTAGATTACAATCCAATCTACACAATTCACACGATACAAAAGAATAAGGAAAGAAGAAACCTGGACTTTGAATTCTAATTGCCCAAGACCAATTCTAAAGCACTCTCTCGCTGTGAATGACCACAATGTTGATCAAAGCACCTTATGATATGACAAAATCTTGAATGCGAGAGAAAAACGTAGATGAACGATTCACAGATTGATTTCTCAAATTTTCTCAAGTAGTGTATTGTATTGTATATTTTCAAAAGATGAATCAAATCTGTATATATAGAGTAAATCAGAAAAACAGAATGTTTCATCTGTTAAAAACTGTTTTAGAGAGTCAAAAGATAGATTAGTTTAAAGTAAAACAGTTTAGAAGAGACTCGATCGATTAGAACTGAAGTATGATCGATCAGATCAGAGTTATGATCGATTAGAATCGAAGTATGATCGATCAGACTCGAGTTATGATCGATTAGAACTGAAGTATGATCGATCAGACATGAGTTATGATCGATTAAAATGAAACTATGATCGATCAAAATATTATTTCAATCGATTAAAATATCGATTCAATCGATTGATTTCATTTAAAGTTCCTTTTAATCGATTAAGACATCGATTCAATCGATTGATTTCGTTTAAAGTTCCATTTAATCGATTGATTCGAGTTTTAATGGATTAAAACAACTTAATGAAAAATGACAAGACTCTGTTTCAATCGATTAAAAATCATTTCAACTGATTGAAATCCTGCAGACTTTTAAGACTCGAAAATGACTTTCTGTTTCAACGAGGTTGAAAACCATTTCAACATATTGTTTTTCCGAAAACATTTAGACTTAAAAAATATCTTTATTTTAACAGATTGAAAAACGTTTCAACCGATTGTTTTTCCGAAAACTCTTAGATTGAAAAATATCTTTCTTTTTCAACAGATTAAAAAGTATTTCAATTGATTGTTTTTCCGAAACCTTCATATTGAGAAATTTACTAAGTTATTTTAACTTGTTGATTCTCGCGAATCAATCAATTGAAAATACGATTATATAGAACCACTTATTCTGTTAAGTGATTTTAACCGATTGAAAATCTTTTTCAACAGATTGAAAAACTTAGTTTGTTCTTTTAATGCGTAAAATGATTTTCAATGCTATGCGAAGATTAAGGCGCTTCATCACAACATATAATGGCCTATCAAGGGATTAAGTGCTCAAGTTAAAAACCTAATCATCTACACACCCACAACCTAAACTAAATTTATGTCTTCATCAAATTATATCTAAGTCTTCATCAAATCCACCAAGTCCACCAAGTGCTTCACAGAGTTGGTTATGATCGATCAGAATTGAATTATGACCGATCAGACTTATTTCAATCGATTAAAACGTATTTCAATCGATTAAAATAACTTAGAAAATCTTTTCAATCGATTAAAACGAACTTTCAATCGATTAAAATGACTTGAAAATATATGTGCAGATTTTCAATCGATTAAAACGACTTTATATCGGCTAAAATAACTTGGAAAGTTTTATAAGAAGGTTTTTAAACAAATCAATCGATTAATACGCGATTCAATCGATTGTTTTATACTTAGAAAATGTTTGTAAAACGTTTTAACCGATAAAAACGTGGTCGTATCAACTAAAACATTTTCTCGTTAAAGAGCAAGAACGCATTAATGGGTTGAAAGGACTTTTAACAGATTATAACGGCTATTTCAACAGATTAAAACAAACTTTCAACAGATTAATTAATGCAGCAGATTTGAAAATACTCTTTTATAAACAGAATTGCTTGGAACTTTTATCATATCAGCTTTTACACAATTCAAGCAATCAATACAAACAACTATTAGCATTTTTCAAGAAAGATACACAACTGTTTTTGTGAACTTCTTTTGAAATCTTTCTTGAGGCACTTTGCATCCTTGAAGAAGAAACTTACTGTGGATTGGTGTAATCCGGTTTGAGCTTTCTAAGTCTCTTCTTTGTAAATTCTTTTTCATTACTTTGTATTGTGTTGTACCTGGAATTTGGGTACAAGTTTTTTTTCTCAGTAGTTGGTAGGTGGTTGTAGAAGTTTCCAAGAACTGGAATTTGGTTCTTGGTGGTTGAGTACGAGAACTGGAATTTGGTTCTTGTACTCGTTTGGTGCCTGGAATTTGGGCACTCGGTTTCTCTGCAACTCGGAATTTGGTTGTAGAGGTTATCAAGAGCTGGAATTTGGTTCTTGGTGGGAGAGGTTAAGTGCGTGAACCTGGAATTTGGTTCTTGTACTCGTGTGGTGCCTGGAATTTGGGCACTTGGTTTCTCTCGCGATCGGAATTTGGTTGCAGAGGTTTCCAAGAGCTGGAATTTGGTTCTTGGTGGAGAGTTAGAATAGGTGTAAAAGTGTGAGTCTCGTAAAACATCTATTCTAGTGGAACCCAGCTGGAATTTGGTCGGAGACTCGGACGTAGCCCTGGTTGTGGGTGAACCAAGTATAAAATTACCGGTGAAATCTTTCCTAACCTTTCTCTCTTTAAATTCGAGTTGCTGCGCTTGTATTGTTTAATTGCTTTGTGATTCGTGAATTGATTAGTAAACTTAATTTTCGAATTAGATAATCTGTTTATTGCGAAAAACTTTCAAAAATCAATTCACCCCCCCTCTTGATTTAAAACTACTTTTCTAACACCTTTCAATTCATAGATGTGGATCTCGGACTTATGAATGGGGATACCCCAAAACCCACAAAGAAACAAGAAGGAAGTGAGTTAGACAAAAGGAGAAGAAACTTGGAAAAAAAAAGAAGTAACCTGGACAAAAATAAACAAAGTGACTTAGACAAATCTTTTTTGTCGATAACCTCAAACCAATCAATCGAATATTGATTAATATGTAATTGATTGAACACTACTGGAAAGCGGCTATTCTGCTCATAAATGAAATAGTCCAAATGTTCCTAAAAATTCTTGCTCCCATTGGATCATTTGTATCTATATGCATTAGGATCCTGATTCATAGATCTCTTCGTTCGAGAAATAAAAATAAGAGGATCAAACCATTTCTTCTGAATCTTTTTTAAATTTGATAAATGTTGGTTGACCGTGTATTTCATTATAGTTCGATGATTCAGAGTATCATTTCCTATTTGATACCTTTGAATTCCATATTCGAAGTTGCAATTGAATCGATTCAATACATTTCTTATGTGACCATGGGTGTTATATTGGATTTGAATCAAATTTCGGATCAATCTATATTGATTAACTTCCTCCATTATGTTGTTACTAGCAAATACAACTATTTTAGGTTTTGGATCTTCCAAATTATTCCCGCAAGAGGTTTGGACCCATTTTTTTATGATCTTTCGATAAAAAGATTCATTCTCTTCATAAAAAAGGAGGTAGAAACAATAAAGAGTGATTTTTCGATTCATCCCTGGAGTTCAATAAAGAATGTTTTTAATCAAATCCTGAGGAATCAATAGAAAAGTCAAATTCCTTATGATACACCAGATTCGGCTTGGTTATTGATAGAGTGAATAGATTTGTCATTTCTTGAAATATATCTTCTGATTCAAAATCATGGTGTAACGTGTATCTCCCCTTATTTCGATCATGAAATAGATGAAATAAACCCCAAAATGAATTTTTGTTCAAGAATGAAATATTATTGGAATTGTCGCCGCCGTCCGTTCCGATGTCTAGGGACATCTCGAACGTTTATGCGAGTGGTCGCGAAAAGATGGTTTAGACTCGCGTTTTTATTTTAAAATGTGTTCATTGCTTCCGAGGTGCTCAACAACTGAACTATCCTCTAATAAAAGCAAGGTTTTCGCAAAAGGGTTCTTATGGAGTCGCCACGAATGTTTTGACCATAAACATTGGAAAAGGATAAAAAGGCGTTGATTTTAATAAAAACCAAACTTGGCCATTATAACCAGAGTTGGGTAAGGGAGTTAGTTACGTGTGGGGAAGGTGTTAGCACCCCACAATGCCCCTTTCGGGTTCCCTATGACGGATTCATTCATTAAGTGAAGATTACGAGAAATTACGCTATTACCCTATTTTATTACCATGTTCAAAAAATGGCTATTTACATGATTTTATTTTATATTGCATACATAAAGCAATAAATAAAACAATAAAAGAGAAGAGAATTCAAAAGAACCTCCGTAGCAAGCTTTGTATTGCAAATCTTTAACTGTGAGGATGCGTTTTGGCAATCCCCCGCTCTACAAAGACTCTCCTCCCCGAATACAATATCGACTACATTTTAAAGAAGAATCGAATGCTGGAATACAATTCCTTAACCGATTGTTACCTTTTTAACGCAATCGGAGAGTTCATTCGAAGTAGGGAGAGAAGACAAGTGTCTGGAGTGTGAAAAAGTGGCAAATGAGCCTCCTATTTACAGTTTTCGCAGCCTGGCACTTTGGGACGACCGTCTGGAGCTTGGAAAACAGGGATGACTGTCTGGGGAGGCTGGGACGGCCGTCTGGGCTGGCTGGGACGACCATCCCGACTTCTGGGACGACCATCTCGATTGCTCTGGCCAGATTTTGTGTTCTGGGACCCCCAGGAAGCTTTCCTTTCTTTATTCGGAAGTCGTTTGATGCCGTTGGACATCCATTGAAGCTTTATCTTCAAATAGGAAGTCTTCTTGGTCTTTATTGAGAGGACGGGCAAAATTAGGGGTCTACACAAATGTTTTTGATCAAATCCTGAGGAATCAATAGAAAAATCAAATTCCTTATGATACACCAGATTCGGCTTGGTTATTGATAGAGTGAATAGATCTGTCATTTCTTGAAATATATCTTCTGATTCAAAATCATGGTGTAACGTGTATCTCCCCTTGTTCCGATCATGGAATAGATGAAATAAACCCCAAAATGAATTTTTGTTCAAGAATGAAATACTATTGGAACTGTCCAGTTCACCTTTTGGAACCATATCACATCCTCCATATGATGAAATATGATGAATTGAGACGATATTTTGTAAGTACATAATTATCTTAAAGAAATTCACTATTTCTTTATTTTCCGATCGCCTGGAAAGAGCAAAATGTCATTTTTTCTTTTCTCAACAATTTTTGATCTCTAATAGACCTATCAGTAGGATTCGAACCCAGATAAAGTTCTGACCATCTGTCAGAGAAAAAGGAATGAGTGGCTCTTGCAGGATTCCCAAGAAATTCTTCGATTTCTTACGGAAGCATATGATTATTCATCTGCTTCTCACGTTCCATGAATAGTCGGCATATTGAGGAATATCCAGAAATGATTTTAAGGAATTGCTCTGATTCTATCTCTGTTCGTTCCGTTTGAAGAAAGGAAGGATCCCAACAAAGAATCGATCTTTCTTTTAGTTGTTGAATCTCTCTTTGATTGATCAATGTGAGATATTTTGAATCCTCATTCCTAATGGAATCGAAATAATCCTTGGATTGATCAGAAGATCCTTTCAATAGGATAGAATCTATTACTTGAATGAAACTAGATCTCGTGGAATCATATTGAAGATTTGATGATACATTTCGTACCTTACTAAAAAACCAATCCTTGTTTCCCAACCACACATTGTCTAACCAAATCCAATTCTCTCTTGACATGTTCCTCAAAAAATCCGATTCGTGCGGAATCTTCCCCTAACTAATGAAGAGATCTTAACGGAATTGCCACATATGAAATTGAGCACAATTTTGCAAAGAAATAGACCACTTGTTTCTCAAGAAGAGATGGGAAACATGCTCAATATTATTTGATTGAATAATTGACCTAGTCCCTTATTGTTTGAAGAAACCCTCCACTTCCTTTGGTATTTTTTTCACGTAAAGCAAACATGAGATAATAAATCCAGTCTTTCACTAACATTTCGAATAGTTGTCCCGAATTCAAGTTGATCATGTTTCGCCTCTTTTTCGGGGAAAGACAATAAAAAAATTCCCAATCATGGTCCTTATGGATCGGATCATCCATATAATATACAACAAAAAGGAACTCCAAATATTTGATATCTTTCTCTTTGAATGAGATCTCAATTCCAGTGATGGTTTCATTAGATATCTTACAACTAGAATCGCTCTTTTTTCCTATCCAGTTCTTCCACCACTGCGAACCCGAGTTAAATTCATCATGATATACTTTTTAGTTATTGGGAGAACTCGAGTACTCTCTTTCGGATCCGGGAAAGAACTCTCAGAGATATTTTTTTTCCTTTTGGAAGATACAGGATCAGAACAATCAACCTATTGATATTGGAATAATCATCTGATTCTTCCACTATATCATTTTTAGGTCCAATGGAATTCATAAGTATAGGAAGAAGCCTTATCAAATAGGGATTTTTTTCTTTCGACCATTTTTTGATTGTTAATACGATATATAAGGACTGCTACTACAAAGAGTACTACATACTTGATAGTGAAATATCGATTTCTTGTTGAACCCTGTGAATTGTGTGAAAGTATGATACTCCAAATTCGGGAGTCCAAGAGTTTTATAAAACTCTCTTGATGGAAAAAAATATGAATGAAAAATCCCGCTGAATTGAATTGGGTCCATGAATCTAAGAAATAGTGAGAATTCTTGATTTCTCTCAATATCTCTCTCAATTCGAAAATTCCGGATTTTAATTGATGTCCTTTCATCGAATCCTCCTAATTGCATTGATTTATCCGAAAAATTTCACTTCAATTGGAATTTGGTTATTCACCATGTATGAAGATTCCCGCTAAGCATCCATGGCTAAATGGTTAAAGTGCCCAACTCATAATTGGCAAATTCATAGGTTCAATTCCTACTGGATGCACGCCAATGGGACCCTCCCTCCAAAAAGTCTATCGGATTTTTGTTCAAGAATGAAATCTTATTGGAACTGTCCAGTTCACCCTTTGGAACCATATCACATCCCCGATATGATGAAATAGGATGAATTGAGACGGTATTTTGTAAGTACATAATTATGTTGAAGAAATTCACTATTTCTTTCTTTTCCAATTGCCTGGAAAGAGCAAGATGTTTTGTTTGCTCTTTTTTCAACAATTTCTGATCTCTAGTAGACCTATCAGTAGGATTCAAACCCAGATGAAGTTTTGACCATCTGTCAAAGAAAAAAGAATGAGTGGCTCTGTATCAATGAATTCTCATCATCCATATATAACGAATTGGTGTGGTATATTCAAATCATAACTTATGAAAAGTAAAAACTAGTATTTTAATTGAGACTATAACTCATAGGGAAGAAAATAGATTTATGAATGGAATAAAATATGTAGTATTTACAGACTAAAGTATTCGGTTATTGGGGAAAAATCAATATACTTTTAATGTCGAATCGGGATCAATTAGGACAAAAATAAAGCATTGGGTCGAACTCTTCTTTGATGTCAAAGTAATAGCTATGAATAGTCATTGACTCCCGATAAAGGGTAGAAGAGTACGACCTATTATGGGACATACAATGCATTATAAACGTATGATCTATGGACAACATCATTGTGGTAAAGGTCGTAATGCCAGAGGAATAATTACCACAGGACATAGAGGGGGAGGTCATAAGCGTCTATACCGTAAAATTGATTTTCGACGGAATGAAAAAAACATATATGGTAGAATCGTAACCATAGAATATGACCCTAATCGAAATGCATCCATTTGTCTCATACACTATGGGGATGGTGAGAAAAAATATATTTTACACCCCAGAGGGTCTATAATTGGAGATACCATTGTTTCTAGTACAGAAGTTCCTAAAAAATGGGAAATGCCCTACCTTTGAGTGTTGTTTGAACTATTGATTTACGTAACTAGAAGTAACCAACTAGGTTTAGGGCGAAACCTATAAATCGATCACTGATCCAATTGGAGTATCTCTATAGGATAGACCTTGATAGAAACTGAAGAGTAACGATAGCAAGTGATTGAGTTTAGTAGTTCCTCATATCAAATTATTGACTCTAGAGAGATAGTAATGGAGAAGGCAAAATTGTTTCAAGCACCGACACAACCGGAAGCACCCTTTGTTACAAACAGGGGAATGGAAAGCTAAGTTGTGGTAATTCTAAGGATTCCCCCTGGGAAAAAGAGAGATGTCTCCTGTGTTACCCGCACCATGTGGAAGTAGCGACGTAATTTCATAGAGTCATTCAATCTGAATGCTACATGAAAAACATAAGCCAGATGAAGGAATGGGAAGACCTAGGATGTAGAAGATCATAACATGAGCGACAAATTTGGATTCCTATATACCCACTCGTGTTGTACTTCATTGTGCGATATATATAAGATCCATCTGTATAGATATCATCAGCTACATCCAAAAAGTCGTATGCTTTGTAAGAGGCTTGTACAATTTGGGAAGAGGTTTTGATTAATCAAAAAGAAGAATATACTTCAACTGATATGCCCTTAGGCATGACCATACATAACATAGAATCACACTTGGAAAGAGTGGACAATTAGCTAGAGCAGCTGGTGCTGTAGCAAAATTAATTGCAAAAGAGGAGAAATCGACCACATTAAAATTACCTTCTGGGGAGGTCCGTTTGATATCCAAAAACTGCTCGACAACAGTAGGACAAGTGGAAAATGTTGGGGTAAACCAGAAAAATTTAGGTAGAGCCGGATCTAAATGTTGACTAGGTAAGTGTCTTATAGTGAGAGGAGTAGTTATGAACCCTATAGACTATCCGCATGGGGGTGGTGAAG